CGGATCGTGCCGCAGTCTAGTCAGGGTGCGGGCTGGCTCGACGGTATGATAGGAGATGACTGGTAGGAACAGGTCATAACAGATCAGATTCCACTTGACAGGTACAGGCAGGGGCAGGCTATTATACAAGACGTAGCTCCCCGAGCTACAACAGGATCTAGAACTGAAGTTCAGATAAACAGGTCAGAGATCACGTGCCGTGATCTTCCTCTTACTAAGCATCACGGTTCGCACCGTGACAAAAAGCTCCAAAAGCCCGAAACCCGACCCGTCTCGACCCTCAAAAGTAGACTTCCGCAAAGCTCGAAAAGCTCGAAGAGCTCCAAAAGGGGGTCGAGTCGGGTCGGGTTTCGGGCTTTTCGAGCTTTGCGGAAGTCTAGTCATTTATATTAAAAGGCTGTTAAAGCTAAAGGGTCCCCCCTTCGGTTTTATACACCCTCCCCCCCCCGGGAATTTACAAGCTTAGTTACCAATTCGCCACTAGATACAATTAAGCGGGTTAATAGGCCTAATACCAAGCTTATTGATGATATTAAGCAAATTGATAACCACTCCCAAAGGGTGAAACGGCATATACAACGAAGTATAGATGCAAATACTCTTTTGTCCCAAGAAAATGCATTTCTAAGGGCCGAATTAAAGAAGGCTCGTATAGCCATTTCTACTACAAATGCCCCGAGAAATAGTAGATCTATTCTTAGATCTAGGGCCTCGGTACTAACACCTATATGCGTGAATAGGAAGATGGTGGCTAGGCGAGAGGCTGATTCTAAAAAGTTGAAGCGCATACATTTAAAACATGCCAAGGATTTAGAAGCTATATAATTGACCCAAAAGGCTAGGGATCTAGCTGATACTGAACATAGAGCTTTAATGGCGGCAAAAGATAGCAATGGTGGAAATTGGTATGTAGATAGTTATGGTGGTTATATGTAAATATGGAGTTGAATGCATTTATTACCTCGAAAATTATAGTTGAGTGAGAATTATCGTTGAGTGGGGCGCACCAATACACGAAGGTGTGTTGGGCGCTTGGCACGATTAACCTTTGAAATTAGGCACAAATTTTGTGCCGTACAAAAAGTACAAACGACTCAAATTTCATAAAATCCATTTTCTCATCCCTTGAGCTTGCTCGAATGTAAATTAGAGTGCTAATAGGTAGCATGGGTATGATTAGATCGTTTTTACACCAAGATTGGTTGCAACTGCTCTACATAAATAAGTGCGATAGGCATATGAAAAACACCACAAATCTAGACAAAATATTCCAACGCTTGAATCATAGACTACATATACTCACATCAAATCAATTGAAACCCTTTCATGGCGCATACACAGACCTAGAATTTCCTTAGCTGTACAAGAGGTTGAGGAAAAGAAATTGTAAGAAATTTGCATCTCTTGTAACATTTGTACCATTTGTACCTTTTGTATAGGTAACAAAATATATTTAATCTTAAAACCCATCGTTGATAGGGACCAACATAGAGAGGGTGTATTAGGTCTGACACGATTACGTTGAGCTTCAATTGTCAGACATTTATACTTTAACCGGTCCCATCGTTTGACGATGAAAAAAAAGAAGCAGCGACCGCGGATCGAACGCGGGACAACAAGATTTGCAATCTTGCATTCTACCACTGAATTACCGCTGCATTCAATGAAATATACATGCAGGTTGCTTTATATAACTTCTTCCAAAAATTTCTAAAATGAGCTTCAATTGTTCGGGGGCCAAAAGTATAAATTCCAGTATAGAAAGATAAACTTCCTGACCAGCCACACTCAGGTGACTAAACACCAAGGGGGCCCGCCTAACATCTCACGTTTGTAAGATGCCTTAGGCCTCCGCCAAGAACTCATGTCTGCCTTACATCTTTCATAACCTTACGAGACTACATATCAGGAGGCGGCCTCCTGGAGGTCCCCTGGCCCAGAAATCAAACCAGGCGGGTCCGCCTGACATCTCGATTTAGTCCCATGGTCAAAGCTCACGTGGGTACCTCCCCTCCACTTGCCATACGAGAGTGCGGTTTCGTTTTAATATATAACGTATTTCACTACCGAGCTAGACACCCCCACTAACTTATTTTCGCAGTTAGTGGCTTACACTAAATGCGGGGAGAGAAAATAATTACCCATTTTGGATCAACCTTTACGTGACTCAGCAGTGATCACGAATGCCTCACATGCCGCTGGGCTAGTAAACCTCTGGATATAGATCAAAAACAGCGACTATCCAATTTGAACCCATTAATATAATAGAAATAGTTGCTGACAGGATTTCTCCCAAGCTGAGGTAGGTAGGAGCCCAAGAATCCGAGCTGATTTTGTAGGTCAGGGGCTGAAGTGGAATTGATAGTTGCGTCTCTCGCACTGACGTGTTAGTCGACCAACTACCTGGAAACAGAGACCCCACATGATGACTATTTGGTGTAACTAGAAGACCAGCGGCTGGGACCCTTGCCAATTTTTCCATCTAAACCCTGAGGTTTAAGGAGGTCAGACGAAGGGAAAGCAGCGCCTAAACGTGGGTTTCTATCGAGAAAAGCGGAAATTGATGAAGCAAGATGAGGCGACCTTCGGTCAAGGTCATTTGGAATTGAGGCATCTAAGCCGGCATTAAGAAGGAGGACTACTTGATGCCTGCGAGTCGCGCGACCGCCGCACTGACCCTGAGATGACGCTCCATTGAACTCAATCTCAGTATTATTGGACGACGACATTTTGACTAAAACTGCCCTAGAAGTCTCGGTCTCTTGGTATCTGCACATTGCCACTTTCTTCGTGTCCCGCCAGTTATATATCGTATCTAAAATTGCTCCTTCTGATTTATATGCGGAGTGTGGAACGGATGCCCCCCAATCATAAAAAGTTCTCAGGTTGGAGATGGGAACGTCCACAGGTCAATTTCCTACGACTTAATGATACCCATTTTAGGGTTGCTCAAAAATTCACAACAAGAGTAGCGTGTCAAGAGTTATTTCACTTACACAGCTCACTACTCAAATCAATTTGGCGGGGTAATTTCGCCCTTTCTATCCCTTTTGTTTTACTTTTTGTTTAATACAAAAATAGATAATATCTTATACACC